ATTTTTAAGGTATTTTCTAGTTTAAAATCATTTAATAATAAGGAGCAAAAGTGTACTATATAACCTGACATATTCATATACTGAATTTTTGAAGAACAACAGAATATACTTACATAATATAATTACTAATACTATTTTAAGTATTTAGTTTTTACAAAGTAGTTCAGCACTATCTGGTTTAGGACATTTTGTTATAAGGATAGTTGCAAAGGATATACTTTCCATAGTACAGTAAAATAAATCTAAAAAACAGTGATGTTTTCAGAAACAAGTAAACTCCAGCATACCAAAAATACAAAGAAAGTACTCAACTAAAAAAAAGCTGAGGAAAAAATTAGGGGAAGTGGGGAAAGGGAGAAATAGGAATCTAAAAGTAATTACATATATTTTTCCCCAATGGAAACTATTTGGGCTTAGTTTTCAAGCTGCTGCTTTGGGCCATTTTGTCTCCTCTGATGCTTCATTTCATCATCTTTACATTTTTCTAAAAACCAACTTGCCAACACTGAGGCAGACCAGTGTCAGAACACACACTACCCTAGGAACACAGAAGCCTGGCTCCTTGCTACAGCTCTGTGGCTCCACCTCTCAGCTTCAGTTTCGCCATCACCAGACCGGATGCTTTGAAGTGAGCTTGCTGCAGATACTCAGCAAATGCAGCTTTGGCCTCCTCAACCCCCCACCCCGCAATTCCACCAAAGTAGCTCCATACTTGTCTTTTTTTTTTTTTTTTTTATTACACACATATATTTAACAGTATAGTTTTACACAGAGTGCTAAGGGCACTTTTCTTCATATTTTATAGAAGGGCTTGAAACATACAGATTTTCTATTAGTAATCATACAACAGCATATAACCAAATCTAAATCCTATATAGATGTATTACAATTTATTTAGAATTTAAAGACTTAAAGGCAATAAGTAGGAGAGGAAAAAGTAGGTAAACTTGCATTTTACAAAACTGACTGAAAAATACATTCAAGAAATAGTAAATAGAACTTAATATGATCTGGTTCGGTGTGGTGGCTCATGCCTGTAATCTCAGCACTTTGGGAGTCTGAAGTGGCAAGATCACTGAGCCTAGGAGTTCAAGACCAGCCTGGGCAATACAGTGAGACCCCATCTCAAAAAAAAAAAAAAAATTAATATCTCATGTGCCCTGAAGGAAGTGGTAACTGATTTACAGAGGTAATCACTATGTCCAAATAATCTCCTACATGGAGCTTCTGCAACTGCAGAGTCACGGAATCATCAGTCCCCTTTCTGTCAGCACACTTGCATTTTTAAATACATTAAGATTCCATGTAATATTGCACTTGATTAAAAAATAAGGGTGCTGCCATTTTTTGTTTTTGAAATGAAGTCTCACTCTGTAGTGCCGGCTGGAGCAGTGGCGTGATCTCAGCTCCCAACCTCTGCCTCCTGGATTCAAGCAACTCTCCTTCCTCGGCCTTCTTAGTAGCTGGGATTACAGGTGCCCACCATCATGCCTGGCTAATTATTTTTCGTATTTTCAGTAGAGACAGGGTGTCACCACGTTGGTCAGGCTGGTCTTGAACTCCAGATCTCTGGCAATCCACCGGCCTTGGCCTTCCAAAGTGCTGGGATTATAGGAGTGAGCCACTACCCCTGGCTGGTGCTGTTTTTTTTTTTTTTAAAGTTTAGAAACCTAGGGACTAAACAGATCACTGTTCAAGTCATTTCTCACTCTAGCTTGCTATAAATGTGTAGTGCTCAACCCTTTTGTCTTAACTTCTTGATTTTGTGAGCCTTCTAAATTTTTGTATTTTAGAGCAGAAACCAATTTCTCTGTTGAGGTACAGAATACAGAGAAAACAAAAGGTGGCAAAAATTTCAGAATCAAAATGTCATTCAAAGTCCTCACCAATTAAGGGAACTTGCAGTGTCGCTGAACCTTCGCCCAGCTCTAAACCCGCTTCTCTTACTTCATCAGCAAGGCAATGACTGAGCCATGTTCAACTGTCAATTTATTATCCAAGGGATCACGCATTACAAATATAGAGACTTTAATAAGAAACTGGAAGAAATTCATCCACCAAAATGTCTTTTACTCTCTTATAAGTTGATATATATTTAGATTTAAAAATGCTTTTTATCTTTAAAAAATTTAATATAGAGTATCATATAAAAGAGAATAATCATACAAAACAGAATAGAGTATCATACAAAAGCATACTAACTCTGATATAAATTACTTGAGCAGATAGCTTCACATGAAATTTTTCCTACTGTAGATTTTTTTTTTTTTGACGCAGTCTTGCTCCGTCCCCCAGCTAGGCTGGAATGCAAGGGCACGATCTCAGCTCACTGCAACCTCTGCCTCGCTGGTTCAAGCAATTCTCCTGCCTCAGCCTCCTGAGTAGCTGGGACTACAGCCGCTACTCTGAGAACTCACCAAGCCCAGCTAATTTTTTCGTACTTTTTTTTAGTAGACACGGGGTTTCACAATGTTGGCCAGGCTGGTCTCAAATGCCTAACCTCGTGATCCATCCACCTTGGCCTCCCAAAGTGCTGGGATTATGGGCCTGAGCCACCGTGCCTGGCCTCCGACTATAGACTTTTCAATATTTATTTGAGGGAGTTAAAGCAGTCGAGTAAAACTAAATTTATTTTAAACCTTTTTAATAAAATTTGTGTTTTTATAATATAAAAGTAAAATACAATCAGTTTACTTTAGGTTTGTTTATAGTAGGAGGAGGAGAGAAATAAAGTGGCAGAACAAAACTCAGAATACACCAAAACAAATACCTTTTATTTTCTGTTAAAATCTGTCTTCTTTTTTTAACCAGAATAAATGTCTTGATTCCAGACGGGACTGGGAAGTCATCCCCACGAATGGAAAAGCAATTAACAGACCTTACTAGCAGGGCTATAGTATTTTCATATTTTATAATGTCACAACGCTGAAGTATACTACTTAGTAGTTTAATTCTGAATTTTTAAAGCACTCATCAATATCTGTTACATGCTTGATATAAACCTCCTTTTAGTTCAAAGGAATTAATGACATTTTGTCAATTCGCCATCTTCTATAGCCATGAAATGCATGAGTATGATTTCCTATCACTTAGAAAGCAAACTCTTTCAAAAGAAAGGTGGAGGTACTTAAGAATTATCCCCAGTGCTGCTTCCTGATTGGAAAAAAAAGAACTCCCCCCACCAAGCAAGAAAAGAGGTCACAAGAAATGCACATACCCTCTCCCTAGGGTGTCTGCCAAATGGGAAATGGCCCCTGCTCAGATGAGCTCAGGCAACATGATCACCCCTCTGATGAGGAAAAAGAGTAAGAAGGCACCAATGCCAGCCTGGAACTTGAATGGCAAACAGCTTAGACAGATAAGACCATCTCCTTCACGTGCTCTCCGATTCTGTCTGCAGAGGCATATGTGAGAAAATACCCAATCCATACCTGCCGGGACGCAAACTGCTTGCCAACTGTTTGAAGGAGGGACAAGGCCCAGCTTCCACTACTCACTGTTTCAAAAGGCTAGATGAGCAGAACCCCTACCTGCAGTTGCTGTGGTATCCAACACTAGAGTTCTCTACAAGGTCAGCCAGAAACCTGGATACTGAGACTAAGCAAAATACATGTACATCTTAGCACAGGAACTACGTTCTCAAGGTTGACCAAGGTTGGTCCCTAGAGGGCATTTTTAAAGAGAAGCATGTACTGGTCCAACACCCTTAAGCATTCTTAAGGTCTCAATACAGTAGGGGCACTGCTCATTTATAACTGGTCAGAACATGTGCTCTCCTTCTCTGAAGTGCTCCTGGCATTCATTGCTGCGTGCCACTCATCCCTACACATCAAGTGACTGGAATGTTCTTATAATAATGTAACTGCTCCTCAGGAGCATCTGGACTGCAGCTGCTTGTCACCTAAGAAACAGGAAGGATGTCACATGTCATCCCTTCTCCTCCCTCTGCTAAGCCCTGTTGCCCTTAATGTAGCAGGAACCTTCCCTTCTCCAGTGCTGAGCACCACTGCCCATCTGTGTGGAACAGGAAGAACTCCTGGGTCCCTCATGAACAAGAGGTATAGAGCAAGAGCTGCCTTGGACCAGGTTAGAAGCCAACTAAAGGGCTATTTCAAAGTCCACTGTTTTTCCCCCCTCCAAATTATTATTTACAAGAAAAAAAAAAAACAAGACTGTCTCTATAGAAAGCAGATGTTTATCAAAAGAACTTGTCCCCTCCTTTCAGGGGCAGGACTTATCTAATTCAATACTTGTACCAACAATGAAGAAACAAAACTAAGCCCAGTGGGGAACCTAATAGAAATTAAGTCTGCATAGCCTCTAAAGCAAATGAGCCATAAACTCCAATATTCAGAAGCTCAGGGGGAATATAGGCAAAACTTGACATTAGTGGAACAATGCAATTCACAGCTATGCATGTAATAACAATTCGTTCTAAAGAAGCCCCCCTCCCTACCCCTGCCCCAAGCACAGATGAAGGCTGCCACTGATGGCATTTTGTAGAGAGGCAAGCACAGAAAGTGGGACCCTGAAGACGGAGAACTTTGAGATGGGCAAACTGTATTTTGCCCATCTTGGTGGCAAACAGGTGCCACCAAGATACACCAGGTGCCCCCAGTCTCTTCCAGAAGGAAATGACTGAAGTAGCAGAAAGAGCCCACCAGCACCTCCCTAAGGTCTGGTTTCTATAGACAAGCAACAATGATTTCTAAGGCTTTATTTACTACAGCTATTTCTAGCCACAAAGGAGTTAAGAGTACCAGGACTTTGGATTAAGGGAAGTCTGGATTTAAATACCAGCTCAGCCACTTCCTGTTACTCAAATTCTCTAAGCATCAGTTCCTTATCAGTAACACTGAGAATATACTCATTCTCTTAGGGTAGTTATGAAGATTACATAAAACAAAAACCAACAACAATGTATGTAAAGCTCGTAGCATAATACTCAAACTAAAAGTATTATTTAATTTTGAAAAGTCAGACACTCTAGCATCACTTACTTGTGGTAATTCTCCTTTTTCTCATCTCTCCAGTTTTTATTTAACTGGTGAATTTTCACGGCTACATATCTTTGCTCTGTTAGATCAAATGCCTAAAAAGCAAGGGAATAAATTATATACTGGATAAATGTTAAAAATTACAGGCAACTGATTTAAAGCTTCTATTTAACATATAACATAATCAAAGTCCAAAATACATTATTAAATACATTACATACTTATATCAGTGTTACAACCATCTTCTTGAAACTTGTGATTAGATAATTTAGAAGTCTATAGACACACTGGCACCAAGGGGTTTAGAACATAAAACCAGGCCAACAGCACAAACAGAAAGATAGCCTCTGCCTTCAAAATCATTTCCCAACCATTCTCTTTCTGGACACCATCTATTCCCATCTGGGACCCAACACCCTTAGGTTGTCTTTGTCCTTCAGCTGACACTGGGACTTTGTAAGCTTCAAATATTCTGCCACTTTTGAAATCCTAGGGACACACACTGCCTGCCTCATGGAGAAAATAACCCTTCACAATATAATTCCTTGATTGTATATGATTGTATACAAAATAACCCTGTAATTTGGCATATTGTTTATTAAAATAAAGAAGCAAAAACCAAAAAAAAAAAAAACTCTGCCTTTAGTTCCATCTAAATATGCTGGGTAAATAAAAAGCAGTTTTTTTGTTTGTTTGTTTTGTTTGTTTGAGACAGTCTTGCTCTGCCTGCTCCTCGTCCAGGCTGGAGTGCAATGGCACAATCTCGGCTCACTGTAACCTCCACCTCCCAGGTTCAAGTGATTCTCCTGCCTCAGCCATCTGAGTAGCTGGGATTACAGGTGTGCACCACCACTCCCGGCTAATTTTTGTATTTTTAGTAGTTTCACTACGTTGGTTAGGCTGGTCTCGAACTCCTGACCTTGTGATCTGCCTGCCTTGTCCTCCCAACATGCTGGGATTACAGGTGTGAGCCACCACGCCCGGCCAAAAAGCAGTTTTTAATCCCAACAATGGCTGAAGTTAGTTATACCAAGTCACTTCTCCAGCACTGTCCAGAGGCAGGAACAGGCTTTCCCCAAAAGCCACCACTGCCAGCAAGTCCTGTATCAGGTAGGCACAGAATGCAAAAGGTAACATGGATTTTTTTGAGGAAGCTGGGTGTAAATCATAATTTGATTAAGTAATCTTTTAAGAAAATTGAAGATTTCCCTCCATACGAAAGATTTTATTGCATAGCTCCTTTAGAATAAAGTTTTTCTTAGTTTGCAAAGTTCAGATTAAAAGCTTACTACTTCAGTTTCAACACTTTATCACCCATCTGCTAATTTTCACAAATATACAAATTGATGAAGGCAATAAGTGCAGAAAACAGTCCATAAATAGGTAATCGCTACTTTACAGATTTTTCTAAACCTAAATTTCTCTAGGTAAGCACTGCATATAGAAGAGTTGCTTATAAAATACAGAAACTTCCATTATTTATACCAAATTAAAACCAGTATGTTTAAAGTATAAAACCCACTCACTTCAGACATAATATCTTATTTCACAAAAAACAGAAACTTTTTCTCTTTTTATATAGACAGAGCCTCAATGTGTTTGCCAGGCTGGTCTTGAACTCCTGGCCTCAAGTAATCTTCCCACCTTGGCCTCCCAAAGTACTAGGTTAGAGGCATAAGCCACCATGCCCGGCTAAAAATGGAAATATTTGAACTCCTTTTTTTTTTTACAGAGTTTTCAGTCCATCCACAATTATGAATACCATAATGACTTCATAGTAGAAAACCATTTTAAATAATAATAAAAAAAAACATTAAATACCACCCAATTTATGAGATCACCAATGCTATTTCAAGCATAATTTTCTCTAACTTCTACACTGTACTTCTAAATCCAAGACACTGTGATCTACCACTGACTTAAGAAAGGATTGCAGAGAGTAGAGAACCACGAAAGAAAAACTACATTAAGAGCACATGCCACTTCACTGGAGCCTGAAGGACAGAGTGAGATTGTCCCCCCCCCCACAAAAAAATAAATAAAATGTTTGAAGAAATATATTAGGAAAAAATAAGATAATAAAATTACTAAAAGTAACTAAGAAGCACCAAGAACCAATTTTGGTAATTTAAATCACATATACTTCTAGGTATATATCCAAAAGAATTAAAAGCAGAGTCTCACAGAGATATTTGGACACCCAAATTCAAAACAGGCTGGATGTGGTGGCTCACACCTATAATCCCAGCACTCTGGGAGGCTGAGGAAGGTGGATTATTTGAGGTCAGGAGTTTGAGAACAGCCTGGCCAACACAGGGAAACCCCATTTCTACTAAAAATACAAAAAAAAAAAAAAAAAAAGCTGAGCATGGTGCATGCCTGTAATCCCAGCTACCCAGCTACCTGGGGAAGCTGAGGCAGGAGGATCACTTGAACCCAGGAGATGAACACTGCATTGAGGGGAGATTGCACCACTGCATTCTAGCCTGGGTGACACAGCAAGATTCTGCCTCCAAAACAAAAAACAAAAAACCGAGCACAGCACTATACTCAATAGACAAGAGGTGGAAGCAATCCAAGTGTCCACTGACATAGGAGGATAAACAAAATGTGGTGCATACAATAAAATATTAAGTGACCTTAAAAAGGAAGGAAATCCTGTCACCTGCTATAGCACAGATTAACCTTGAGGACACTATGCTAAGTAAAAAAAGCTGATTATATAAAGACAGTGTGATTCCACTTCTCTAAGAAATCTAAAAGTAGTCACATTCAGAGAAACAAAATGTAGAATGGTGGCTGCAAGGACCAAAGGAGGGGGAAAGGAAAGTTGGTTAATGGCTACAGTTTCGGTTTTGGAAGATGAAAAAAAGTTCTAGAGATCTGTCTCACAATAACGTGAATGTATGTTACTGAACTATACACTTAAAAATGGTTAAGATGGGTGGGGCACGGTGGCTCACGCCTGTAATCCCAACACTTTGGGAGGCCGAGGCGGGTGGATCACGAGGTCAAGAGATCGAGACCATCCTGGTCAATATGGTAAAACCCCGTCTCTACTAAAAATACAAAAAATTAGCTGGGCATGGTGGCGCGTGCCTGTAATTCCAGCTACTCAGGAGGCTGAGGCAGGAGAATTGCCTGAACCCAGGAGATGAAGGTTCCGGTGAGCCGAGATCGCGCCATTGCACTCCAGCCTGGGTAACAAGAGCGAAACTCCGCCTCAAAAAAAAAAAAATGGTTAAGATGGTAAATTTTGTATCTTATCTTTTTACAGTAAAAAAAATTACAAAGAAACTAAGCATTGACTTAAGACTGAACATAAATAAAAATGAAGAAAGTAGATGGAAGGAAGGAAAGGAGACATTAATGAAAAAGAAAACCAACCAAAGAGCAGATTTGATCAACGAAATAAAATTTGGTTCTTAGAAAAAATTAATAACAACACCTACTAATCTCTAGCCTATTAGTCAAGAAACACAAAAATAAAAATTTTATAAGAACAGAGAAATAACTAAGATGTGGAAAATATTTTTTAAAAATCTAGGCCCTGCATGGTGGCTGTAATCCCAGCACTTTGGAAGGCTAAGGGTGAAGATCACTTGAGGCTAGGAGTTTGAAACCAGCTTGGGCAACAAAATGAAACCCTGTCTCTACTAAAAAAGAAAAAAAAATCTAAATGAAATAGATTTCCTAGAAAAATTAAATTACCAAAACTGACTTGAGACGGGAGAGAAAATCTTAAGATATCAATAGTTGTAGTAGAAATTGAAAAGACGGTCAAATGTTTTCCACAAACTCAATATCTCCCAGGTGATTTTTCTTTTCTTCCTTTGTAGAGGCAGGGTCTTACTATGTTGCCCAGGCTGGTTTCAAACTCTAGGCTCAAGTGATCCTCCCGTCTCGGCCTCCCAGAGTGCTAGGATTATAGACGTGAGCCATAGCATCCGGCCTGCCCAGATTTGTATGAGTCAATTCTAACAAACTTTCAAGGAGCCAACAATTCCCAAGTGATGAAAAGGGTTCCAGAGCATGGAAAAAGAGACTTCACAACTCACTGTATCTAAGGAGCTAGGATAATTATGACATCAAACTTTGACAAAGCTACTTGCATACAAAAGATGACTAAGGGCCAATCCTGCTTATTATAAGTACAGATTTAAAAATACAAATAAGATACCAGAAGCTGATGGCAGTGGCTCACGCCTGTAACACCAACACTTTGGGAGGCCACAGTGGGTGATCACTTGAGCCCAAGAGTTTGAGACCAGCATAGGCAACATGATAAAACCCTGTCTCTACAAAAAAAATACAAAAATTAGCCAGTTATGGTGGTACACGCCTGTAATTTCAGCACTTTGGGAGGCAGAGATGGGAGGACACTAGAGCTCTGGAGTGGAAGGCTGCAGTGAGCTGAGAATGCACTGCTGTACTCTAGCCTGGGTGCCAGAGTGAGACAATGCCTCTCCCCCAAAAAACAGAGATACTAGAATATCAAAACCAATACAGTAGTGCACTAAAATCATTATATAGCTCTGGATATGAATAGTGATGTAGTTATATCAGTTGCACAACATTGTGAAGGTACTTAATGCCAATGAAACGTATACTTAAAATCACAGCTGGGTGGCCGGGCGTGATGGCTCAAGCCTGTAATCCCAGCACTTTGGGAGGCCAAGGCGGGTGGATCACGAGGTCGAGAGATCGAGACCATCCTGGTCAACATGGTGAAACCCTGTCTCTACTAAAAATACAAAAAATTAGCTGGGCATGGTGGCGCGTGCCTGTAATCCCAGCTACTCAGGAGGCTGAGGCAGGAGAATTGCCTGAACCCAGGAGGCGGAGGTTGCGGTGAGCCGAGATCGCGCCATTGCACTCCAGCCTGGGTAACAAGAGCGAAACTCCTGTCTCAAAAAAAAAAAAAAAAAATCACAGCTGGGTGTGGTGGCTCACACCTGTAATCTCAGCACCTTGGGAGGCCAAGACAGGAGGATTGCTTGAGCCCAGAAGTTAGAGACCTGCCTGGGAAATGTAGCAAGACCCTGTCTCTACAAAAAATTTAAAAATTAGTGCACAGGTCCTATAGTCCCAGCTACTCAAGACATTGAGGCAGGAGGCTTGCTTGTGTCCAGCAGTTTGAGGCTGCAATGAACTATGATCATGCCACCTCACTCCAGCCTGGGCAATAGAACAAAACCCTGTCTCTAAAATAAATAAATAAATAAATAAAACCATAGGGGGAAAAAAGTAAAAAAGAAAACCATAGAACTAGTTTTACCATTTTTATTTGTAATGAAAACTATTTTACTAAAAAAATTTCCCATATATAAATTCATATGAGCATAACATAAATCCTAACAGTGAAGGTTAAACGTTTGAAAGGCAGAGCTGTACAATGAAGACTACATAATAAACAATTCTGTACTTTACAGACAGGTTCCAGAAACAGGTAGAAAAATTCAATCCACATGTTATGGATCTGTAGCTAAATTTAAAACATGCTGGATCCCTCATTTGGTAAAAATCAACCTGGAGGCTCAGCAGGCTGTACTTTGCTGGTCCAACTGAAGCACTCTAAGCCAGGTCACTCTTTCAGACTGCCAGTGCTAGTAAATGATACCATAACACTTTTAAAACAAAAAGCAGGTTTTCCAATTAAAAAAAAAAACTATTCTTATTGGAAATAGGTTTTACAGATCAATTCTGCAAAGGAAATAAAGGTAGCACATACTCTTTTCTAACGAATGTGTATGAGGCAGAAAGTACAGAATCAGAATAAAAATCACCATAATTCCACCACCCAGTATATTTCCTTCTTGCTTTTTAAATCTGTAAGTATTTCTTTTTCAAACTTAAACATATCAATATTGTATCCTGCTTAGTCATCTAGGTTTACTGAAAGCTGTTTTCCCAAAGATACAGGTTTTTAAATTTTTTGAATTTTAATGGATAGCAACCCACAATTTTCGGTATTCTTAATGTTCTCGAACTCAGTAATAGCCGATAATTTAATCCCCAGTCTTTGATCCCAGGTTGTTATACTTACCTTATAAACTTCACTGAAACCCCCTCTACCCAAAAGATGTAACAACAAATATCTGTCATTTAGCGTTGGATGATCTTTAAATCTGTGGAAACAGAAAATATGTAACCCCTGAGATCATGGACTACGTCTTCCATGCTTGCAAAATTCCCAGAATATCTAACACATTATACATACAATTATAGCTGCTGTTGGTAGTCTGACAATCAACATCAACATGGCAAATTCTGAGAATAAATTTACACAGTTCAAAGAGGCAGCATAATTACAATGAATAATAGCACTAGCTGTAGAGCCACAGGACTCGAGTGCTGGTCTCAGTGTAGCTACACTAGATCTGTGACCTTTGTTGTTCCTCCTTTTTTCTGCCCTGCTACACAATGAGCGATGGTAGATTAGACTTGATTAGGGATTTTTAAATTGTGCTATTTGGCTCCTCCTCCAAACTATACAAGATCCACATGATCCCACCATTTCCAAACTACACACAGTAAAATTCCAAGAAATTTGTTATTTCCTTACAAATTGATTGCAGAATAGTGAAGTCACATGTTCTATGTGCATTCATTATTCTCTCTTTAAGACAAGGTCTATGATATAACTATGTTCCCCATATTACATTCCACCTTGGGTAGTTTCTTAATTAATATGATAAAGAAATGACAAGTTCTGGCAAAAACAAATTTTAAAATATTTTTACCTAGTTCCTGATCTTACACAATCTCACTATTAATCCTGAAGTTACTTTACTTTGATTTTAAGAAAGTAGCATGCCTATTTGGAGATACATTACTGCATGGTGGTTGGGATGAAAAAGATCCAAGTTTAACTCTTTAGTCACATTATTTATGGGTCCCTGGGTCAAGTTAACTTAATTTCTCTAAGCTTGTTTTCTGATTGATGTATTGCAGATGACTGGGTTATCCTGAGGATTAAATGAGAGCACTAAGGGCACTTAGGATCAAGCCTGATACACAGAGTTTTCAGGAAGTAGTACCTGCTATTGTCTGCCACTCTAGCAGAAAGAAAGGTCTATAGCTCTTATAAGCCAAACAAAAATACGCACACTATGGCTTTGTGAAAAAATGTTTCAGGGTCCGAAAATGTGGGAAAAAAACAGATTACTTATAAAAGCCCCTTTCTACTTTCAACCTACTTTTCCCATCTTCAATTCCTTAAATGACTAATAAGCAATGGTGGGCATTAATCTACAATTAATATACTGAACTTAAGAGTCTTACTTAGTCTCAACACTTGAATGGCTCTTAAAGGTCATTCAGAAACTGAGTGTCATCTCAGCCCAATATTCTTTCCACAACACCACACTATGAACTATGCTTCCCTTTCTTAAGGCTCTGTAGGTAAAACTGAATATGCAATGTATTTCAGCCATTTACAATTACCAAGCCATATTGTTTTAATAATCTCTACTCAGGTAAAAATGCTATGTGTATACACATATATACTTAATACATAAATTTAATACAATTATATATTTAAACCAAGGCAAATCATAATTTTGTTCACAAAATTGTATTAGATGCTACAAAAGAACTATACACTATGGAATCATTTATGTAACTTATATTAAGCAAATGCATTATTCCAGACCATTCAATTCATATCAGAAAGTGCTTAGCAATCTCCAACCCAATATACCCCCAAGTTGCTTACTGTGAATTATCTTCATTATGTATCCTTTTAAGTTCCCTGATATGTAGATTTCTAACCCTTTCTAGCCTTTCCAGCTCTGCCTGGATCTCTGCTTCCTCCTAAAGCAAAAAGGAAAGAAATAGCTCAAAATATGGGGAACTTTACCTTTCTGGGATCTTATTTCAAAAGCAACAGCAGACATTTGTCTTATGAAAAGCTAAAGAAAGGTATTTTGCATTGAAAGATTTATTTTTAAAAGATAAGAATTTTAATCATAATAAGCCCATAGAAAATAATAAAAGTCAAAGGCTGGGTGCGGTGGCTCACGCCTGTAATCCCAGCACTTTGGGAGGCCGAGATGGGTGGACCATGAGATCAGGAGTTCAAGACCAGTCTGGCCAAGATGCTGAAACCCCATCTTTATTAAAAATACAAAAATTTGCCAGGCGTGGTGGCACGTGCCTATAATCCCAGCTACTCGGGATGCTGAGGCAGAAAAATCACTTGAACCCAGGAGGCAGAGGTTGCAGTGAGCTAAGATCAAGCCACTGCACTCCAGCATGGGTGACAGAGCAAGACTCTGTCTCAAAAAAGAAAAAAGAAAATAATGAAATTCAAACCATACAGAGGAGTTCAGTGAGAAAAGTAGCTCTCTACCCTTCTCCTCCCTCCTCTCCACACCCACTCCCAAGATGTAGCCACTATCAAATTTCTTACGTTAAGTTTTCAGAAATGTTTTGTGCATATACATATAGACATAGAAACAATTTTTACAAAAATCAGGTCATCTATCTGGTCCTCCTCTTTACATATGGATTACACTTGATGCCTTAAGTTCTACTTATTTAACAAGCTCTGAGAACCCAGCGGGAAAAACGGCATGAAAACTAATATGTGAAATAAAAAACAAACAAATGCACATATACCAAAAGCAGTTCAGTAAATCCTTACTAACCATTATCACCGTAAATAGCATCCACCAATGTATGGGTTTCTGAATTCAAGAGCGGAGCAATCTACATCTAAGATATCTTAGTGAACATCATTAATAATAAATTCTATGTTATGTGTCTTTGTGTCTGAATAAGACTGGCATAAGACTTTCTCTTATTAGCTAGTTTAGGCAAGAAATAAGAGCTGACATGTGATTTAAAATATGGCAGGAGTCTTAACATCAATTTTAAAACCAACTGCTCTTAAAATTTAAATATTAAAAAAATAATTAAGTTTCACTCCAAAGATAACCACTTGGGAAGCCTTATATGTTCAGAATTATCTGCTGAGAGATCACTGGTAAAAACACTCTCATTGGGTTGCTGGAATTGTCTTGAAAATGGAAAGATAGATCAGGCATGGTGGCTCACACCTGTAACCTGTAATCCCAGCACTTTGGGAAGCCAAGGCAGGAGGATCACTTGAGGTCAGGAGTTTGAGACCAGCCTGGTCAAGACGGTGAGACCCTCATCTCTACTAAAAATACAAAAATTAGCTGGCTGTGGTGGTGCACACCTGTAATCCCAGCAACTTAGGAGGATGAGGCACAAGAATCGCCTGGGCCCAGGAGGCAGAGGTTGCAGTGAGCTAAGATCGATCATGCCATTGCACTCTAGCCTGGGAGACAGAGTGAGATTCCATTTCAAAAAAAGAAAACAGAAAGATATGAGTTCTACCATTAGGCTATGAGACGTGACAGTGAAAGCAGTCACTCAAGCTTTCTGCCACTATGTGAAACTACTATTACATTTGCCCAAATGACCAAATAGCTTAAAACCTAAATGTAAACTGGGTAACATATTTCTCCAGAGAGATTTTCTCATTATACTTACTTTTTTAAGATGACCTAATCTGAGTTTGAAGATTTCTTCTTGTTCATGGTATTCTGCTAATGTTAACCTGAAAAACAGTGGTTAAAAGTTTCAGTAAATTACTTGAAATCATAGTTTGCCTATTTGAAGAGAATAGCCCAAATATACAATAAGACAAATTCAGTTTCAGTCTCAGTTAAAATCACTGAAGGATAGGTTATCCTGTAGTCCTCTGACAAGAAAAAACTTCCGCGATTTATTAGATATGATGTGAGAGAAAGACTTCAAAGCCAAAAAGCCTAATTTGCAAAACATAAAAAAAAAAGTGAGCCATATTTAAAATTTTTTTTCTTTTTCTTAATGACTTTCTTTTAACAGCATTTTATATTATTTTTGAAATGAGTTTCGTCCAATTTACTCAGATTAAAAACTCATTCAGAGAGAGCCAAAAATTGTTTAAAATTCTTTTAGAGGCCAAAACAGTCAGTCAATGGATTTGATTATTCTTGTTAACACCTAAACCTTGATGCTATAATAACAAAGAGAAAGACATAAAAGCAAATTCGAGTCTACGATTTGGAGTATGAGGACTAGAGTTCAAGGTATTAATAAGATACTGGCCATGTGACCTTGGGCAAACAACTTTAATTTCTTAAGTCAGTTTTTTTGAAATGCGGCAAGTGATAATACCTATCTAAGAAAACGTTGGGACTATTAAACGACAACGAAAAAAGAACATTGAAAATGCTATCTAAACCAGTTCTCAAAGGGCTGACTTGATGGGTATTCATGTGTTTCATATTCCACCTACTCCAACAGCATCCTTATATCTCAAGAATAAACAAGTGGCCAGCCTCAGTGGCCAGTAGTCTGGGAGGCTGAGGGGAAAGATCACTTGGAGCCAGGAGTTCCAGCCTGGGCAACAAAGCAAGACTCTTGTCTCTGTGCAGGGGAAAAAAAAGAAAGAAAAAACTGAGCATGGTGGCATATGCCTGTAGTCCCAGCTACTCAGGATGCTGAGATGGAAGGACTGCTTGAGCTCAGGAGGTTGAGGCTACAGTGAGCTATAATCATGCCACTGCACTCCAGCCTGAGCAACAGAGCAAGACTCTCTTTAAAAAAAAAAAAAGGGCTGGGCGCAGTGGCTCATGCCTGTAATCCCAGCACTTTGGGAGGCCAAGGTGGGTGGATCACGAGGTCAAGAGATCGAGACCATCCTGGTCAACATGGTGAAACCCCGTCTCTACTAAAAATACAAAAAAAAAAAATTAGCTGGGCACGGTGGCGCGTGCCTGTAATCCCAGCTACTCAGGAGGCTGAGGCAGGAGAATTGCCTGAACCCAGGAGGCAGAGGTTGCGGTGAGCCGAGATCGCACCATTGCACTCCAGCCTGGCTAACAAGAGCGAAACTCCGTCTCAAAAAAAACAAAAAAAGGAAAAAAAAAAGATCAATAAGTTACAATTATTATTTTATTCTTCCTTCCATCTCTACCTTCTTCACATTCTAGAATCATACACAGATACTTAACATTTTTAGATATCACTGTTTAGATATATTCTAAATTGCAGAAGAAAGAGGAAACACCTATCCTATCAACCAGAACAGAGCCTTTGATGTCTAACTCAAGGAAAATAGAACAAACTCATCCACTAAGGCTCTTTATAGATGCAGAAATACCTGCATCTACTACTCCATTTCACACTAGCAAAAAACAGAGAAATAAAAAATCATGGCTAAGAATTATCTGTCTGAAACAGGTTCAGGGCCAAGAAAGGATATTATGACTTACTCCAAGACTTCAGAGGCCTATATCTGGCTTCTGGTCAAAATAAGAGCCAAGTCACAGATACTCTAATTAAAAACTGGACTGAAGGTCTTCTAGCTTGGATTTTACACAGGACTCCAGATGCCAACTGCTTACACATTACTAGCCTAGATTCCATTCTAACTATTGTTCTGTGGCAAAGAAACAACCTTTGCCTTCTTCATCACTCCTAATCCAATGGTTTTATGCATCAGCATTAAATAATTTTCAAGTGATACTAGAGGGAAAGTCCCTTCACAAAATAAACACAGGAGTCATGAAAGAAAACACTGATCAGATTAATTAGCCTGGAGAATCTTTCAAATCTGAGCCCCTACTTGGACTTGCTGAAAGGAAAATATTTAAAGACTCGATAATCTTCCCCTCTTCTCATTCTCATTACTGCACTTGACTAGTTTTTAAAATCAAGGGGAAAAAAGACTCTAATTTTAAAACATTTGGGCCGGGTGCAGTAGCTCAAGCCTGTAATCCCAGCAATCTGGGAGGCGGACAAGGGTGGATCATTTGAGATCAGGAGTTTTAGACCAGCCTGGCCAACATGGCAAAACCCCCATCTCTACTAAAAATACAAAAATTAGCCGGCTGTGGTGGTTCGCTTGTAGTCCCAGCTACTCAGGAGGATGTGGCAGGAGAATGGCTTGAACACGGGAGATGGAGGCTGCAGTGAGCCAAGATTGTGCCACAGCACTCCACTCTGGGTGACAGAATGAGACTTTGTCTCAAAAAAAAAAAAAAAAAAAAAACTGGAGCTTTATGAATCAAGATGTTTTCCAAGTTCATTATGTACATTTTTATCACTAAACTTAATGTAATTATTAGTTTATTTATCTGTTCATCTCACCTAAGTAAACTGTGGGCTCCTAAGGCTGGGGCTGAATCCTTTAGCTCTGTATTCCCAGAAGAGGGCCTAACATAAAATAAGCATTTAACACAGACTTACTAAATGAATATCAAGAAAAAGACTTCCCAAAACATCAGATACATATGGGGTAAGGATTGGTGTTAAGCCATCTTTCTCACTAGAATGAAGATGCATTTCTAGGATGTCACAGACTTTTAACAATAATATTATACCTGAAGTGGATTATGTGTTGTATTTGTGAACATAAAAATATAAAGGAAATGACATATTAGTTGATTAGTTATATGATATCATATCTTTTATTTGTAGTTATATTTGGACATGAAATTTACTTTCAGTTAAAGAGAAAGGAAGACATGAATGGAGAAGGCAGGCATTTATTTGTGCTTAGAATTTTCTACTCTTCCTATACATGGTAGCTATGTAAATACTGTTGAATGACAGAGAAAAGATGACTATACTGCAGCTTAAGATACTGGTGTTTTCCTCAGATTCCCAGAACAGGAAACTATTCTGATGAGGTCAAGTTTTGGCTTATTGCGACAATGTCCTTTTTCTAACATAACAGCTTTTTCGGGGGTTTATCTGAAGTTTGCCACTATTAACTAAGTGCTCTTTTGACCAGTAAAGAGCATTCTTCAGTCTGAAATAGCAGCCAAGCAACTCCCATAAGATGATACCAGTGTACCACACCTGGAGCCACATGTGTGCAACAGTATCATTTCAGTACAATGACATTTTATTTAACCAGGAGTGGCCAAAAGTCATGATGTCAAGTGACGTTACTTTTCCCTCTCATTTGAAACGCCCTCAATGAAGAGCAGGTTTAAGAAAATCAGTTAATTTTATATGGCATTCATATGAGTTGAGCAAATCCATTAACATAACTGAAAAGAAGTGACCTCCAGAATTTATAACTTGCCAGTGGCAATCAACAGGACATTTGTATTTGGGGGCAGGGTGTGGTGTCTCAGAGTTCACGTCAATAAAGAACATACGTTTCATTTTCAGCTCCATTGGTCTTGCTTTTTCGCTGTTTCTGCTCATTGGTTGCAGGAGGGGCCTGACCCATGGCAGGAGGTTTCCGCTTTGCTAACATTTTCCGTTGTCTTTCTATCTCTTCCCTCTGTGAATTTATCCTTTCCTGTTGCCTAGAGATATAAAAGATGGTGCACAAAGAAAGTCAAAAGTTTTACCACAGCTATGGAACAAACACAATTTGCCATTTATGTATCTAATTAAAAAAAAAAAAAAAAGCCCCTTTAAGTCAAGTAGAGATTTGATTTTAACGTCAAATTGGAAGAGCCAAATAATTGGTATTGGATGTTTTCTGGAAATGAGTCTGTGCTTTAAGACACTAGTTATTAGTATTTTCAGAGTGGGCAGGAAGAAACATATCAAATTTCTATTGTGACCTTATTTTCTGACTCAAAAGAAACAATTTTCTGATTCCTTTTTAAGAGCTAAGAAAACAATTCTCTGATCTGAACCCATTAAAAGTAAAAATTGTATTTCAAAAGTTACAAAATGTTCCAAGTTCTTTTTTATTTTTTCTTTGGATGAAAGCTTCTCAATTTTATGTAAAAAGATACCAAGTTTGTAAAAGAAAGTAAACGAGATTTTCTTTTTAGACCTATCCTTTATTCTAGTCCAAGGGAGCCATTACTACTCTACATGATAACCCTGTTCACTGATACAGTGCCACCTAAATTAAGCTTTTGAAAGACAAATATGTGGCCGGATGCAGTGGTTCACGCCTCGAATCCTAGCACTTTGGGAGGCCAAGGCGGGCAGATCATGAGGTCAGGAGATCAAGACCAGCCTGACCAACATGGTGAAACCTGTCTCTACTAAAAATACAAAATTAGCCAGGCATGGTGGTGCGTGCCTGTAATCACAGCTATTCAGGAGGCTGAGGCAGGAGAATCGCTTGAATTTGGGAGGCAGAGTTTGCAGTGAGCCAAGAGTGCACCACTGCACTCTAGCCTGGGCGACAGGGTGAGACTCCGTCTCAAAAAAAAAAAGACAAATGCATTCAGAGAAAGCACAATGAAGTCTTCCAACCTGTAAGAACTCCTTAGAGAATAGTGCACAAAATCAATTACTGTAAAACATATTTTTAGGACTGTAGTTAATCTAACACCATTACCATTAGAGTATTTCCTAATAAGATGTCAAATTTTCTGTAATTAACTAGTTTACAAATTAGAAATCAATAAAAACTCCATTATATATGTGTGTGTGTGTATGTGTATATATATATATTTATATATATATATATATATATATATATATTTTTTTTTTTTTTAATTTTCTCCCATATATCCTACCATCTAACAGATATTAAGGTTTACAGACTTGGTATATAACAATATACAAAACTGGAGATTAATTATTTAACAGACTAGTCTTTAAGTCACCCATTATAATTGACAGTCGATGACCAGCTCCCTCCTCCTCTCTCTCCACTGTGCTTTTCCCCTCATTCTCTTTTGTGGAACCAACCTTCATTTTTGTGGAATGATGAAATCTAATTTTTAAAAATCTACTCTGAAATGGAAGTTGCTCTACCCTCTTCCGTGAATACTGTTGTCAGATCTTTTCCAGATTCAGTACAGTATCTTTCTTGGAAGAAACAACAAGCAGAAAACCAACATTACTCTAGGGTAAATACCCATAATACAGTTTATTCAATCATATCTAGAAGGACAATGCTGTAATCAAGATTAGCCTAATCTGAGTATTACAAAGAAACAGCCAATCACTTGATAATACAATGCCCCTGGCTTCAAGATGAGCCAGGTCACTGATTAGACAATCAAACAGCAAAATGAAAACCATAATCCAAGAGTTTTCTGTTTGCCTGAAAATTCTTTTGATTATCATTAGATAGACTTCCTCGTCCCCACCCACAGAACATATATATGGTTGGCTCTCCATATCCATGGATTCAACAAACTGCAGACTGAAAATACATGGGGGAAAAAAATGGATGGCTGAATCTGTACTGAATCTGTACAAACTTTTTTCTTAGTCACTTCTTAAACAAAATAGTATAATAATTATTTACATAGCATTTATATTTATTAGGTATTATAGGTAATCCAGAGGTGATTTAAAGTATATGGGAGAATATGCATAGGTTATATGCAAATATTACCCATTTTATATCAGGGACTTGAGCATCCATGGATTTTGGTAACTGAGGAAGGTCCTGGAACCAATTCCCCACAAGGGACAACTGTATACATAATTCATGGCTTGAAAGAAATCTGGGTTAAGACACAGAATCCTTAAGTAAAACCACAATCTTTCTTCTGGAGAAAACATTTACCTTAACTGAACATAAGTTTCCCAATTAAAAAACTGGTAAACATCTTAGCTCATTTCTACGCTTTTCAGGGGTCCATGAATTTAAGGTACTCTGAACTCCCTACAAATAACCATACAATATACCTTTTAAACTATAAACTATAGTAACTTAGTGGCATGCCACAACATTTGTCTTTCAAGATTAACAACTGCACATTCTGAGAACGACAGTTTGAACATGAAAGCCGATAAACCAAAGATCAATGTTACATACTGTAAAGATTCCCATATCAATTCCTGATTTCTTAAAACTATTTAGCTATTTATACCAAAGAAGAAAAGAATAAAGAGAGTCTATCAGTGGTAGTTCATTTAGATTTATTTTAGGAGTACAAAGTCTGGATTATGTCAAACTGTAACTTCTCATAGAACAGGAATTATGTCTATCATGTCTTATCAATCTGTATATCCCCCAGCATGTATAACAGTGCCTTTCACACAGTTAATCCTTAAATATTTCTTGTATAGCATCAGTTTTAGAGTGCTTGCCCTTCATCACCCATGACAAGAGGCTATTTTTTCTATATTTTACAGAAGTATTGAGGACCCAAAAAATCCATCACACTCAAATCTAAATAACTCTATTTAAAAAGCCATTGCCTGCAAAAGAAAAACAGGTCTTCTGCACCATTGTATGTTATGGGTTGTGTCCCCCAAAAGATATGTTAAAATCCTAACCCCCAGTACCTCAGAAGATGACCTTACTTGGATATAGGGTCATTAAAGATGTTATTAGCGAAGAGATGAGGTCACACTGAACACGGAAGGACCCTGATCCTATATGACTGCTGTCCTTATGAGGATAGAGAGACGCACAGGGAGAACGCCATGTAGAGAAGGCAGAGAATGGAACACCTGAGGCCACAGGTCAAGGAACACCTGAGGCTGCCACACTGCTGAAGAGGTAAAGAAAGATGCTCCCTAGAGACTTAAGGGAGTATGGTTCTACCCCACCTTGATTTCAGACGTTTAGACTCCCGAAGTATGACAGAATACATTTCTGTTACTTGAAACCACCCAGTTTATGGTATTTGTTACAGCAGCCTAGGAAATGAATGTGGGCACCTTCAGCAGCAAAACTACATTCTATACTCTAACCATACTAGAAGCAACTAGTAGGAAAGGTATTTTAAAAAATGTGGTTGGGCACGGTGGCTCATGCCTGTAATCCCAGCACTTTGGGAGGCTGAGGCAGGTGAATCACCTGAGGTCAGGAGTTCGAGACTAGACTTGCCAATATGGTGAAACTTCGTCTCTACTAAAAATACAAAAATTAGCCAGGCATGGTGATGGGCACCTTTAGTCCCAGCTACTAAGGAGGCTGAGGCAAGAGAGTTGCTTGAACCCAAGAAGCAGTTTGCAGTGAGCCGAGATTGCGCCCACTGTACTCCAGCCTAGGCTATCGTAGAGACCCCATCAAAAAAAAAAAAAAAGTATATATTTCAGTGATTATTTTAACAACAAATTTTTTAAAAGTCTTCTATTATCATTTCATGTCTGAGAGGTCTGAAACTTCAAACAGCATGTCAATATCCCAGATGAGATTTTTTTTTTTTTTTTTTTTTTTTTTTGAGATGAACTCTTGCTCTGTCACCCAGGCTGGAGTGCAATGGCACAGTCTTGGCTCACTCCAACTTCCACTTCCCAGGTTCAAGCAATCCTCTTGTTTCAGCCTCCTGGGTAGCTGGGACTACAGGCCCATGCCACCATGCCCATCTAATTTTTGTATTTTTAGTATAGACAGGATTCACCATGTTGGCTAGGCTGCTCTCAAACTCTTGACCTCAGGTTATCCACCCACCTCAGCCTCTCAAAGGGTTGGGATTATACATGTGAGCCACCATGCCCAGCCCAGATGAGATTTTTAGATTCCCAGGATTTCATATATTCTGTATAAACTGGGAGCTGTGAAATGGTATAGGATACCTAAAGAAGATCTAATGTTTATAAAATCAACAAAATGAATGACTTTGTTATAGATCATATGACTGAGAATCAGATGGTTTTACATAAATTGCTTTAAAATGGATATTAGTTAGGACAAGGCAGTTAGGACAAGCATCAATTGAGGTCAGGAATTTGAGACCACCCTGGCCAACATGACTAAACCCCAACTCTACTAAAAATGTGAAAATTAACCAGGCATAGTGGTGGGCACCTGTAATCCCAGCTACTTAGGAGGCTGAGGCAGGAGAATCACTTGAACATGGGAGGTGGAGGTTGCAGTGAGCCAAGATCGTGCCGTTACACTGCAGCCTGGGCAACACAGTGACACTCTGTCTCAAAATAAAATAAAATGGATACTGGAACTTCTTACACTTCAGAATAAATACCGGGACTAGTATTACAATGCTGTAAAGTTTAATTTCATCCTCTTATTACCCTAATTATGTGCATCTTAAATGATCACAATTTTGTACACAAGTCAAATCCCATTACCTTTTTTTTTTTGAGACAGGGTCTTGCTCTGTCCCCCAGCCTGGAGTGCAGTGGCACAAGCTTGGCTCACTGCAACCTGCGCCTCCCGTGTTCAAGCAATTCTCCTGCCTCAGCCTCCCATGTAGCTGGGATCACAGGCGTGTGCCACCATGCGTGGCTAATTTTTTTATTTTTAGTAGAGACAGGTTTTCATCATGTTGGCCAGGCTGGTCTTAAACTCCTGGCCTCAAGTGATCTGCCCATCTCAGCCTCCCAAAGTGCTGGGATTACAGGCCTTGAGCCACCACATCCAGCCAAATCACATTACTTTAATTCTGTTTATTTCAACATAAACAAAGTTTTAGTAAATAATTTTTATTCTCTTGCCATGGACTGTTGGAGTCTTTAAACAAAAAGTGGTACAATGAATAATACTAACATTTAGTATTTAACATTACTCAGAAATATAAAATAAGTTACTTTTTCAACAGATTCAAACATACTGTGGAAAGCAAAAATTACTAATCTGGCCAAAAGAGATTATAAATCTGATATAATTTTCCTATTAGACAACAAATCTTCTGCTTTAGGAAATTAAAGATCATTCAAAAAAAAAAGAACCAGGGAACAAAAAGAACAACAACAAAAAGGTGTTAAGGGTCCTATTGAGGCTATATTTCATTATCTGATTTATTTTTTAAATGCCTTTAGGTTTGTCTCCTCCCATAAAACCTAGTACTGATGTTGGTGTTGAGCTACTTTACCCACTAAATTACTTCACATGTCTTGGAGTCTCTCATGTGCAGAACTGTCATCTGTGAGGTTATTAGATGTATAGCTTTTTACCACTAGGGAATTTCAATTTCTATACTGAAGAAAGGAAATTAATTGATTAAAGCTAAATTTTAGGAACTAAATACCTGTAATTAATAGACATCAGCCAGGAACACCTTCCCAAGAGAAGATACGGATTTCTTGCCATTTATATGACTTAAAACTGTAAAAATGTGCTATCCACCAATAGCAAACAGTCCTACTTATGGATTTAATTCACATAGTCTCAATTCCTCTGATTTGATGGCTCTACAGCGAAGTCATCATTTTGTACTCTACCATACAGATTTCCAAACCCTCATGGGCATCAAGCTGCATTTAGAGTAAGAAGATAAAATACTGCTACTATCAGCAGTAACTTTATTCATTTTTGTTTTGTTTTGTTTTGAGACAGGGTCTGGCTCTGTCGCCCAGGCTGGAGGACAGTGGTGCAATTCTTGGCTCACTGCCCCACTCTCTGCATCATGCACCTCTGTCTCCTGGGCTCAAGTCATTCTGCCACCTCAGCCTCCCAAGCAGCTGGGACTACAGGTATGCAACAGCACACCTAGCTAATTTTTGTATATATTGTAGAGACAGGGTTTCATCATGTTGCCCAGGCTTGTCTCGAACTCCTGGGCTCAATTTATCTACCCGCTTCAGGTAAATCTCATGCTGAGATTATAGGCATGAGCCACAGTGCCCGGCCATAAGCACTCCTTAAAACTAACTACATCTCTATACAAACCCACTATCTTCTTTGAATCAAAGTCTAAAAAGACTGCCATCTAAATAGTAGCCATTGTCAGGGCTGCTTGAAGCTACTACCACTGCTAAAAGTCAGTGTAAGCATTATGTGGCTTTGGCCACTATGGGGATCTTAAGTTTTATCTTCTGATTCCACTTTAACAAACGTGGAAACCTGATGGTGTGTCACTTCCAGAGCAACTTGCATGTCTTGGCTAGGATGTTACAGAACAGGAATCATACCTCCATGTAACTGCTGTTTAGACTGGTACCTCTGCTATCAGCAGCCATCTATGCTTAAGAGCAGAGTGAATGCTGCTTTGAATGTTTGGTGTTGGCCTAAGAGAAGTCTGTGCTTTCCTTCCAAGGTATTCTTTGACTCGAAAGCCTCTTCATACACCAAAATATACATACATGAGGAACAATCATGAAGTAAAAACATGCTTAAACTTAGTTAGAGGTTAATGTTTCACATATAAAACAAGGACTACTAATGTGTAATTCAGAGGTTAGTTTTAACAAATATTATAAATAGCATCAATATCTGTATTTTCTTTCAGGTATAAATTTCTTATTTATGTCTCATTATTACTCAGAACTAGTCCTATATGCTCTACCATTCATACTCAACAAGCTATTTCAGCAAGGAAAAAACAGGTAGGAAAGGCAATCTATGGCATCTTCCAACTTACGATCTGGAGATTAAACACACACACACAGATACACAGACACAGACACACACACACACACACACACACACACACACATCTGGAGATTAAACACACACACACCAAAAGGTACTGCAACCTGCAGATAGCTATATACCTTTAAACATCTGAGCAAACCGTAGCTATTCACACAGTTGGAATTTGAGGATTTTAAATGTTAATTCCCTCCTTGGAATAAATACCTGAATGTTTCAAATCAAAAATTATGACAAAGAGAATGAATCCTCAAGATTCCAAGCTGCAAAGAGGCACACACAGTGGGGCTGGTCACCAATGCCTTCCAGGAAGTGACTCTTTCTGATAACTGGACACTCTCTCCTTAAATAACTCCAGGAACATGTCCTATAAAGCTCTTCAATGGTTTTATCCTGCTTTATACCTAACTCAAGACATTGTTCCTCAGGTCCTTTCACATTTCATTTTTCTGTGGAACCAGAATAAATGCTCAAGAGACTCTTAATTAAAATTCATTATATAATTAGAAAGATAGGAAGTCAAGCCCTAGGTTTTTCTTCCTTAGCTTCAGCAATTCTGAATCTTTTAAATTTTAAGGCAGGACTCATTATTTGTTTTCTTATTAACCCACAACTGTTACAGAGAACAGAACTCACTTTGTATTCCTAATTACTTGTGTCATTTTTTTCAGGACTTCAACTCATAACTAACTGAAAAGATGATGACCACTAGGATTATTAATAACTACAATTACAGAAAACCTAAAAAATCCAAGTGAACTTTTCAATTCTCCATTTAATCGTAACAATTCACTTACTTGATAAGATTCTGAAAAGCATAACCATCTGTCCACTGTTCAGTAAACGAGGCCCCATGTCGGACAGTAGTAAAGTGGCCCAATCTCAAGCGGTCTTGCATGCTCTTATCTCTACATGCCATCTTCTCTTGTTTTGACTTTGGGGAAACAGACAAAAAAAGGAATTCAATACCAATTAGCATGGATAACGACACTTCTTAGAAACTAAAACATTTAACATGATCAGGAAACATGCTGTTGAAAACCATACACCTCAGAACAGGCAGTAATGACTCCTTGGATAACTTACCATTTCTATTCAAACAAAGCAGACAAGATAGAATAATGAAATAATTACAGGTTCTTTGGTAAAGCTTTCCCAATCTGCCTACGGGCATGTGTTTTTTTTTCCTTTGGAGACAGAGTCTTGCTCTGTCACTCAGACTGGCATGCAGAGCCATAATCTCAGCTCACTGCAACCTCCACCTCCAGGGTTCAAGTGATTCTCCTGCTGCAGCCTCCTGAGTAACTGGGACAACAGGGGTGTGCCACCATGCCCAGATAATTTTTGTTTTTTGTTTTTGACACAAAGTCTTACTCTGTTGCCCAAGCTGGAGTGCGGTGGCATGATCTCAGCTCACTGCAACCTCCACCTCCTGGGTTCAAGAGATTGTTCTGCCTCAGACTCTCCAGTAGCTGGGACTACAGGCATGCACCACCAAGCCTGGCTTATTTTTTTATTTTCAGTAGAGACAGGGTTTCACTATGTTGACCAAGTTGGTCTCGAACTCCAGACCTCATGATCCACCCGCCTCAGCCTCCCAAAGTGCTGGGATTAAAGGTGTGAGTCACTGCACCCGGCCAATTTTTGTTTTTAGTAGAGACAGAATTTCGCCATGTTGGCCAGGGTGATCTCGAATGCCTAGCCTCAAGCGATCTGCCAGCCTCAGCCTCCCAAAGTGCTGGGATTACAGGCTTAAGCCACGGCACTCGGCCTACCTATGTGTTTTAACTTTTTGAGATGGAGTTTCACTCTTTTGCCCAGGCTAGAGTGTAATGGCGCAATCCTGGCTTACAGCAACCTCTACCTTCTGGGTTCAAGGGATTCTCCTGCCTCAGCTTCTCAAGTAGCTGGGATTACAGGCATGCGCCACCATGTTCAGCTAATTTTGTATTTTTAATAGAAATGGGGTTTCTCCAAGTTGGTCAGGCTGGTCTCAAACTCCCGACCTCAGGTAGCCCACTCTCCTTGGCCTCCCAAAGTGCTGGGATTATAGGTGTGAGCCATCATGCCTGGATGACTAGGTGTTTTTAATCTTAGAGTACAGCATCTCGTATTTGGGCCACATCAATGCCTAGCTCTAGCTCTTAAGCTGTTCCCCTATTTTCTGTTTCTTCTCTAATCTGTTCTAAAGAACTGCTGCCAATTCATCTTCTCTGAATACCACTTCGCACACTTCCAATTTGATGTTCCAAATCTTCCATGGGTCTTTGCTACCAAACTTTGGATCCAGAGACGAAAAACTCCTCCATGAGCTAGATTATGTCTGCCTCCCTGTAAAATTCTTACTCCAGAACACCTTATATACTCCTGATTCTTGAGAACATCATTCATTCAACATATGTTTACTGAAAACCAATTATACATCATGAACTGTAAGAATGTTAAGTATAGAATAGAAAACAACTGGTGTTGTTGCCTAGAGAGGGGGGAGTTATAACCACTAAATACATTAATTGGTATTTCTAAGAACAAATTGTGGTAAAGAATTCGAAGGAAAGGAAGAAAGTACTGTGTGAGAGATGATACCATGGGATAAACGTCCTTGAAATGTCCTATTTTCAAACGACAGGCAATTTATAGCTACAGTTTTCCATGCCCAGAACACATTTTTCCTCTTCTTTACAGCTTTTTCCAATTAGTACCCTGCCCTTGATTTATTTTAGTGCATTTTTCTTTTCTTTTTTTAAGAGACAGGATCTCACTCTGTTGCCCAGGCTGGAGTGCAGTAGTGCAATCACTCTAACTCCTGGCTCCAGTGATCCTCCCGCCTCAGCCTCCTGAGGAGCTAGGACTACAGGTGTGTACCACCATACCCAGCTAATTTTAGTGAATTCTTAATATGTGCACTACTCACCTGAATAGGTTTCCTTATATATATATGTGAATGCATCTTATTCACCCACTCTCATGTAGACTGTTACCCCTCTGATGGCAGAACTGTGTCTTTTGTTTCTTAGATTCATGCAAGCTGTTCTACTATAAGGAATTCATTCTTTTTTTTTATTACTGAGTAGTATTCTACTGTATGACCATATCATAATTTGTATATACATTCACTTGTTAGTAGACACATAGGATGTTTCTGCTTTTTGGCTATGAATAAACTGCTATGAATAACCTCATATAAATACTTTAACAGACATTTGCTTTCTTTCTGTTTTTAAGAATAGAGATGGTGTCACTGTGCTGCCCAGGCTAGTCTCAAACTCCTGGATTCAAGTGACTCTCCTGCCTGGGCCTCACCAAGTACTGGGATTACAGGTATGAGTTACCATGCCCAGCCAACATTTGCTTTCATTTGTCTTGGGTAAATGCCAGGAGAGGAACTGCTGGATCACAGCATTAAGTACATATTTATCTCAAAAAGAAATTGTCCAAAACCCTCTGAATTGGCTATAATATTTTGCATTCCTATTAGTGTAAGAAATCAGGCCGCCCCTCACCTTCACCAACCCTAGGCACTGTCAGATTTTTTTTTTTTAACTTCTAGGCATTCTATTGGGTATGTAATAATATCTCACAGTGGTTTTACCTTGAGTTTTCCTGATGGATGAAGACTTTCAGCATCCTGTCAGGTTTGCCATTTGCAAATGTTTATATGCTATTTTCTGGTAAACTATCTGCTCAAGTCTTTTGCGCATTTTTAATGAGTTTTCTTTTTATGATTAAGTTATAACAGTTTTTATGTATTGAAATTCTATGAAAAATAATATTGCAGTCTATGATAACATTTTCATTTGTGTGTTTTTTTTGTTTTGTTTTGTTTTTTGAGACAGAGTCTCACTCTATTGCCCAGGCTGGAGTACAATGGCATGATCTCAGCTCACTGTAATCTCTGCCTCCTGGGTTCAAGCAATTCTCCTGCCTCAGCCTCCCAAGTAGCTGGGATTACAGGTGCCCACCACTATGCCCGGCTAATTTTTATATTTTTAGTAGAGATGGGGTTTCACCATGTTAGGCTGGTCTCAAACTCCTGACCTCAGGTGATCTGCCTGCCTCGGCCTCCAAAAGTGTGGGGACTACAGGGGTGAGCCACCTCGCCCAGCTCATTTGTGTGGTTTTTCTTTGCTTGTTTTTTGTTTTGAGACAGAGTCTCAGTCCGTCACCCAGGCTGGAGTGAAATGGCACGATCTTAGATTCACTGCAATCTCCGCCTCCAGGGTTTAAGTGATTCTCATGCCCCAGCCTCCAGAGTAGCTGAGATGATAGGTGTACACCACAAGACCTGGCCAATTTTTGCATTTTTAGTAGAGACAGGGTTTCACCATGTTGGCCAGGCTGATCTCATACTCCTGACCTCAAGTGATCTGCCCACCGTGGGTTCCCAAAGTGCTGGGATTACAGGCATGAGCCACTATGCCTAGACCATTTATGTTTCTTTAAATTGCATCATGGTATAGCAGATGCTCAATAAATATTCCCTATTTAGAAAGTCAATAAGAAGGTACTATAATTTCAGTTCTTTTGGAAACAAATTTAAATTTTGTTATGTACTACTCCTAACAAATAGAAAGTTCTGTTTTCTTGTGAGAACTCAGAGACAGCATTATGTTTACTTTTTGTAGTATGCTATTTAGAGTTTAGTACAACTGGCTCAATCTATGCTGACTTTAGGAGGTACTCAAATTTTAAAGAAATCATCTGGATTAGCATATATTTTATTTTTTCTCTCAGAAAAAATTTAAAAAAGCGGTTTCTTTTCTATAAAACTGATTAATGAGTCAAAGAATGAAACAAAGTTTTCCCCAGTATCTTCGTCCTCAATAAAATAATCCATTTCGCTTTTACTAAGAGACAGTGTTCCCTGTCTTTTAAGTAACATTCCAAAGGTTTTGGGAAAATAAACCACCAGTATATCTCAAACCTTTAGTCTGTTTTCATAATAATGTCATTAGGAAGTACTGCATTCTTAAAACTTCTAAGAAATAAGCCAGGCGAGGTGGTGAGTGCCTATAATTCCAGCACCTTGGAAAATCAAAGCAGGCAGATCACTTGAGGTCAGGAGTTCAAGACTAGCCTAGCCAACATGGTGAAACCCTGTCTCTACGAAAAATACAAAAATTAACCATACATGGTAACACGTACCTGTAAACCCAGCTACTTGGGAGGCTGAGGCAGAAAAATCACTTGAACCCGGAGGCGGAGGCTACAGTGAGCCAAACTCATACCACTGCACTCCTGGATGAGGCTCTGTCTCAAAACAACAACAACAAACTTCTAATTACTAAGGCTGGGCTTGGTGGCCCCCGCCTGTAATCCCAGCACTTTGGGAGGCAGAGGCAGGAGGATCAAGGTCAGGAGTTCAAGACCAGCCTGACAAACGTGGTGAAACCCCGTCTCTACTAAAAATACAAAAAATAAAATTTTACTACAGTAAGAAGGATTTTGTAAAAATACAAAACCATTTTTGTATTTTTAGTAGAGACGGGGTTTCACCACGTTTGTCAGGCTGGTTGTGGGTGCCTGTAATCCTAGCCACTCAGGAGGCTGAGGCAGGAGAATTGCTTGAACCCAGGAGGCGGAAGTTGCAGTGAGTCAAGATTGCACCACTGCACTCTGGCCTGGGCGACACAGTGAGACTCTGTCTCAAAAAAAAAAAAAGAAAAGGAAAGAAGAAGAAATACTTACTAACAACTACTGAGAGAGATACACGATAACTAACCAATGACTATAATAGAGAGGACATTAGCCAATTAAAGTAATCATACACAGGTATATGACAACTTTAATTTTTTAAGAACAAAGCACTTAACTATCACATTATTGTATACATAAGTTACTCTAAATATCATCTCTGAAACAAAACTGCAACTGTTGTTAATGTTTCTAATAGTAATAGGACACTAACATCAATTAATAGAATGAATATAAGAATTTAGAAAAGCAATACTCCAAGTAAACTCAATTAGGACAAGCTGTCTGTGTTGTTCAGTATCACATTCAAAGCAATACACAGCAAGAAAGTATATCCCAAATTAACACTCCAGATACTTGGTCTGGTGTCCATGCAAGGAAAAAATTCTAATTGTCAAATCATGTTCCTAAAAAGCTCTACTTTTAAATATTTTCATCTCAAGTAAGGAAAAAGAAGCCACACAAAGAAACATTGAGCATTTTGGGATACAGAATTTAGGCAAACATTATTTACTGACCTTTTCTATAAGGAGTTTCTTGCTCATTGTCACACATCTATTTAATCGTTCCTTATATTTCTCTAGCATCTTTTGCTGTTCATCAATCTGCCGTCTCAAATCACAGTTGGCCTTGAATGAGAAAAAAAAACTTAATTAGCTCTAAGGAAGAAGATTAACAGAAAAGCAGTTTCTAGAGAGAGAAAAAAATCATTTCTATATATTGTTTTATCAAAAGCAAAATTAAAGTTCAAACGGGTAAGAAGTAACTATGTCTTAGGGAAAGTAAGTAAATCCTTTATTCTCTCATAATATATCATCTATTTGTAAATGATAAATTGAATTACTAACTTGGGCACGTTTTTCTACTGATCATATTTTGCTCCTGCCAATAACCAGTTACAGCTAATCTTGTAATCACAAACACCTAAGCTATCACAAAATAATAATTAAACAAATTTTAAGGCTAGGTGCCGTCATTCACGCATGCAATCCCAGCACTTTGGGAGACTAAGGCAGGCAGAGGACTTGAGGTCAGGAGTTTAAGAGCAGCCTGACCAACATGGTCAAACCCCATCTCTACTAAAAATAAATAAATTAGCCAGGCCTGGCGGTAGGAGCCTATAATTCCAGCTGCTTGGGAGGCTGAGGCAGGAGAACTGCTTGAACCCAGGGGACAGGGGTGGTAGTGAGCCAAGATCACGCCACTGCACTCCAGCCTAGGTAACAGAGTCAGACTCCAACTCAAAAAAAAAAAAAAAGAATGTTGAAATTACAAAGAGTAATTAAGCATATATAAAAAATTATTGAATTTTATGTTTTCTCTGTTCTTTTTCTAGTCTCATTTCAGAAATATAAATTTGCATAAATGTTCCTCACCAGAGAATCCAGGCACGCCCATGCCCACAAAAGACAGAACAAACAAGGTCCTGGTTCAAGAATGCCAAAATGTAAATATACAGCTAATTTAACTGTGGTCAAAGCCTACAGTGTGGACTAAAAACTTAAAGCCTCCTGCAATGACAGAGAAGGAAAGAACCACTAACCCAAGGTCGAATTTGACTTGCAAGTCCTGAATTTAGTCCTTTTGTGTTAAAAAAAAAACAAACCTCAGCTCTTCCAGTAAATAATATTACCTCATAAAAAGCACAAGTAGAAGATATTACATGATACTCAATTTTTGAGACTTTTTAGCTTCATTAAAATTTTGTTATCATTTTTTCTTTTGTACAAAATCGCTTCATTTTTAAAGTAACCCATGGGAAACAGCTTGTCTCCAAATGTTTCTACTCCCCCCATAAACATAATTCCTTCCTGTTAGTTTTTGTATAGAACCATATTATCAAGGGCAAAGTGCAACTACATTTGGATAAATGTGATTACCAAATTCATACTAAAGAATCTACAAAGCAAAGATCATTTAATGTTTAGGGGAAATCCAGTCTACTCTTGTAAGGTAAGTATTCCCTTGAAACCTGCAATCAAATGTGTAAAATAAATCAACCTCTTGGCATTTATTTAAAATTTTAAGATTTCTGGCCCAGCGTGGTGGCTCACGCCTGTAATCCCAGCACTCCGGGCGGCTGAGGTGGGCGGATCAAGAGGCCAGGAGTTCAAGAGCAGCCTGGCCAACATAGTGAAATCCCATCTCTACTAAAAATACAAAATACCAGCCAAGTGTGGTGGCAGGCATCTGTAATCCCAGCTACTCAGGAGGCTGAGTCAGGAAAATGGCTTGAACCTAGGAGGTGGAGGTTGCAGTGAGCAGAGATTGCATCACTGTACTCCAGCCTTGGTGACAGTGCAAGACTCCAGCTCAAAAAAAAAAATTAACAATTCTAAGTTTTTGTGGCTTCTGACACTAATAGTTTCTAGGAGTTCATGTTTAAAATAATGGCTGGTGGCTGACATGTGTGGCTCATGCCCAGGAGTTCAAGACCAGCTTTGGCAACATGGCAAAATCTTAACTCTATAAAATTTTAAAAATTAGGGATATGGTGGCACATGCCTCTGATGCCAGCTATTCAGGAGGCTGAGGATCGCTTGAGGTCCAGACTGCAGTAAGCTTTGATTGTGCCACTGCACTCCCACTTGGGAGACAGACACTGTATCTTAAAAAAAAAAAAAAAGCAGTTGGCTAGTAGCCCCCAATGCAGCTATACCCAACATCTTACTAAAATGGCAAAATTCAATGAATGACTCATGACTGTCTGAAAGAATATACAAGACCTGTAGTCTTTCCCCAACTATCCATCTTCTAGTTCTTTTAGAAGCCTAGGTTCTAATCAACCTAAAACCAAGGCAACTGCCCTCTATGTCATCCTTTTTTATTTACCTACTCCTTTAATACTGCTCTACATACAAATAAAGACTACAACTGTTTGAAGACGATGGAGTAGGAGCAGTGGTGAGCGAAGGAAGCATACTGCTTCTTAGAAAACATAAACATCAGCTGTTCCAACGGTAGTGGGTTATCAGAACTTATTAACATTAGTGTCACTAAAGTTGGTATACAACCCCCCACTGCTAAATTTGACTGGCTTTAAAATAATTTTAAAAAAGAAAAAGAAAACATAAATATTTTTAAAAACTCCTAATGCAGTACCAAGTTAGGATTCAAGATTCAAGTTTTTCACATCCTCTGTCGTCTCAATCTTAAGAGTCAGATGATGGAGAAAGTCCGCCCACAGTTATTTCTCAGTCCAACAGAGCTTCTCTGGACAAAACCCTGATAGATACTGGAATTTGGCAAGGAGCTTTTATACCTACAAACTATTTCATTGTAAATTTTCAATGGCAATTCAAGCAGCACCCAAATGAATAAAAACAGGAATAAGAGTAACTCCATGCAAGTATATATATCCTAACAATGAAAAATACAACACAGTACTGAGATGGGTCTCCTCATCCAAAAATGGAGAAAAGGAAATAAAAATAACAATAGTAAATAAAAACAAAACCAAACAAAAAAACAGGCCCAAGGAATACAGAATACCAGCTTGAAAACAATGAAAATAATCATCTATAGAAATCAAAAGAACATTTTAGAATACTGTTTGTCATATTCCATAAAATACAAAAAGACATGATACCTAGGAAATAGGAACCAAAAACCTTAGAGAATATACAGGATGGGATAAAAAAAAGTATATTAGATGAGGGAAAAAAGTAGGGAAATTAAAAATGTAAATAATAGGCCTGGAACAGTGGCTCACGCCTATAAGCCCAGCAATTTGGTAGGCCAAGGCAGGAGGATTGCTTGAGCCCAAGGGTTCAAGTCCAGCCTGGGCAACATAGTGAGACACTGAATCTACAAAAAATAAAAAAATTAGCCAGGCACAATGGCACGTGCCTGTAGTCCCAGTTCTTCAGGAGGCTGAAAGTGAGAGGACTGCTTGAGCCTGGCAGATTAAGGCTGCAGTGAGCTGTGACTCTGCCACTGCACTCCAGCCTGGGCGACAGAGCAAGACACGTCTCAAGAAATAAAAATGTAAACAATAAAATCAAAATTCACATGAGCTGCAGTAAAGGCCAGAAATATTTAGAAAACACAGTGTTTAATGAGATTCACAAGAAAGGGGCAATCATATTAAAATGAGATATAACATGTTAGAAATAAAAGAGAAATTCAAGCTGAGAGCCTTTTATAAGAGGGATAAAAGCATAGTCAGACATAATCACACACTTTCAGAATAAACATATATAAACCCACATATAGATATACCCTGGGGCAATATTTAACAAATTGTGGTGTTTGTTGCTTTGGTCATGAACTTCTCTGAAACATTAAATGCTTGAAAAGCTGAAGAGGAGAGAGAGAGAGAGGGAGGGGGAAAGAGAGAGAGAGAGAGAGAGAGGGAGAGAGAGAGTTATATTTGAAAGACAGAAGGAACAGAACAACAGGTTATGATACAAAAATCATGTACACAGTGCTGTCTTTTTATGGGAGGGCAAAAGAGAATTCTCAGGTCTGCAAGGGCACAGAAAATTTAACACTGAGATATCCTTACTGAAAAATAATCACTTAAAAATGTATCACAATCAACAGGTAAAACAAAAACTATAAATATAAAAAATATACTGTTGATAAGCTTTGAAATCAGTTGAATAAACATGTCTAATGATGACTTCGAATTTCGTCATAAAGCTGCCTCTGTCTATATGCTTTACCTAAGAACTTACTATCATATAAAGTAATAAAAATGATAATTTAATAATAATAATAATATAGGCCAGGCACAGTGGCTCATGCCTGTAATCCCAGCACTTTGGCAGGCCAAGGCAGGCAGATCACTGCATGTCAGGAGTCAAGACCAGCCTGGCCAACATGGTGAAACCTCTTCTCTATTAAATATACAAAAATTAGTCAAACATTGTGGCACCTGCCTGTAATCCCAGCTACTTGAGAGGCTGAGGCAGGAGGATCACTTGAACCCAGGAGGCGGAGGCTGCAGTGAGCCAAGATCACACAGCTGCACTCTAGCCTGGGTGACAGAGTGAGACTCTGTCTCAACATATAATAATAATAAAGATGATAGTAACAATGTGGTGGCACATGCCTATAGTCTCAGCTACCTGGGAGGCTGAGGTGGGGACATCACTTGAGGCAGGGGTTGGGAAGGGCACAGCTTGCAAGATTGTGCCACTGCACTCCAGCCTGGGTGACAGAGTGAGACCCCATCTCAAAATAAATAAATAAAATTAATAATAATATAAACACACCAGACTTTACGAATAAAGGCCAGACTTAGTTTAGCTATGTGCTCTATGTGCTGAATCCCAGGTTTTATATTAAAAGATGTCAAAATACACTATTTTACCCTATGTTTTTTATTAATTACAGAAATATAATACAAGTAAAAAAATTTTGGAGGTCAGATCATCATGAATAGAGTGACTTTTATTATCTTTATTATTAAACATATATCTTTATTCAAACTTAACTGTACCTGAAGCCTAATAAGAAAGACTGACAAAGGCAAGGCCACCAATCTCCACCTTGCTGTATCACAGAAGCCCCGGAAGATTCAGGACACTAAAGAGTCAGTTTAATGACCGAAATGGCACGAATAAGGATCAAACCTATACCTTCCAAATCACCAGAGAAAAGTGCTAGCAAATGTTATTCATAAATCAGTAATGTCTATGTATATATTCATTTGTGTATATATACATCTACTATAAACAGCTCAAAAAAATTACTGAAAGAAAGTGTACCAAATGTTTAATCCCAATTAATGGCATTATGAGTGAAATATATTTTTCTGTATTTTGTAAAGAGCACGTATAACTTCCTCGGCCTCCCAAAGTAGCAGGTATGAGCCACCATGCTTTCTACTTTCTTTTTCTTGAAACTGAGTATCGCTCTGTTGCCTAGGTTGGAGTGCAGTGGTGTGAATTTGGCTCACTACAACCTCTACCTCCCAGGTTCAAGTGATTCTCCTGCCTGAGCCTCCCAAGTAGCAGGAACTACAGGCGCTTGCCACCACACCGGGATAATTTTTGTATATTTTGAGTAGAGACAGAGTTTCATTTCACCACGTTGGCTGGATTGGTCTCAAACTCCTGACCTCAAGTGATCTACCTGCCTCGGCCTCCCAAAGTGCTGGGATTACACATGTGAGCCACCATGCCTGGCCCTTTTCACTTTTTTACAAGTATGTGTCAGTCATGCCAAATTGCATATTCAAAATATATTTATAAAATATTATGGTATGCTTCCTAGTGGTCTCTATTTAATTCCAGATGAAGCATTTTAAAGGTTTCTTTCGTAAGTACAAAAAAGTTTGGGTGAATAGGTTATAAAAGGTACAAAAGGCAAAATGGGCAAAAAGTGCTTTTGAAATAGCTTATAAAATTCAATAATATTAAAATAACTTCTCTGGAATGGGAAAACACTTTATACTTATTTCCACAGTTCCAGATGAAATGTAACACTCCACCTATTTCTCCAGTATAAATTCAATCACTAAAATACTACACTATAAGATTTCCAATTTAAAGGTATTTAGAATGAAGAAACTGGTTCCTACTAAGATTCCCTCAGTTAAAAAAAAATACTCAAATGTTTATTATTCACTTTGTTATTTGGCTACAGTAATTACTCCTATGATATGTACATAATCCAAATATACATAACAAATGGTGCTTGCTATAAAATCTCTTACCACATTTTAATACTTACTCTTAATAAATCATCTATTCTTCCCTCCTTCTTCTCTAAGTCAGAATTCTTACTGTTTTCTAGTGCAGATATTTTTTCTATTGTGAGGTCGGACTACAGAGACAAAGGTAAAAAAATTCAGGATTAGTCTCAACATGTTAGATGTCATCACACTCTTCTCATTACCTTTTTGGGGGCAAAAAAAAAAAAAGCACTTGCTCACACAAATGGCCTAGAATCACGTGGCTCAAGAAATGAAATCTGCTCATCTCATCTCAGTCTTCAAGCCCTCTGCTGGGTTCCATATATCCCACTACACCTACATTTCAAACCTATGTTAATTCTGGAATCAAATGTATGAATTCTCACTATTGTGCACTTAAAAATGTAGAAACACATTACTCCAGAAAACTAACTGAATAGGAAAGGATCTCACAGGAGACTTGACCCAAATCTCTAAGGAACAAATGTGCCCTCTGGTGGAAACAGAGAGCAATCAGAAGGGGAGAGAGGAAGCTACCTGAGTGTTCATCTAATTGAACTGCACAAAAGCTGATGATTCAGATAAGATTCAAATGTATTCCAGGGAGTTATATGGCTCCTAATATTTAAGAAATTCTCTTAGATTGCCAAGCAAACTGTCTTAAAGGCAACATAGATAGTGTAAAAAGAGGCTTCAAGAAAACCCAATATACTCAACACTACAAAATGGAAGCTGTAGCCACCATACTTTGCAGATACAATCCTCAAATGTTTAGAACACTCCCTAAATTAAAAGAGTTCTGAACAAAATTTAAGGAGCAAACCATGTTGACATATCACCTCTGAGAGAAGTTTAGCTAGGTATAAATAAGTAAGCAGGTGCAAGGAATACATTAACTATTTTCATAAATTAGAGAATTAAAACTTACTGAAAGCCTACTAATAAACATTTCATATACACTGTCTGAGATCATGAGAATCAACCACATTTACACAGATGATTTGTACTGAGGGAATTGAGGCCTAGAAAGATAAACTATAAGCACTGCAGTGTCAGAATCTGAACTTAGGCTTTCAAAGTGTATGTACTTTTCTTCTGTGGAATACTGTTTAAAAAAAAAAAAAAAGTGTGCACTTTCCTTAATACCATGCGTTAGCATAAGCACTGCTGCTACAAAACACCAGAAGAGTAAAGTCTCAAAAAGTTACCTTCCAAAGAACTTTAAATACCCATACTGCAATTTCTGAATATCATACACACAAATGAGGTATGGTCAGATAAATACAGAAAAGGCAAAGAAGTATCATAGACTACATGGGTTAGCACTTATTCCTACACAGCAGGTATGCCCCTTGACTGATTATCAATCACCAACCTACCTGGGTCTGTCTGTGCTGGATGGAGATCTGTTTTTGGGAGCTGCAGGAATGCTCTGTGTTGCCAGATCCTGTAGATGAGGGACTGTTTTGCTGAGCCTACAATAAAGGTGCATTACCAATCACAGCAAAGTTTGGCATCTTTTTCCACAAACATTTATATTAATGCAAACAACTCCATAATATGTATCTCCACAATACAAACCCTTATGAAAGTCAGAAGTCAGGGCCATGTGGCCAAGAACAAAGTCAAACAGTTCAAATATGAGACAAAGGGCTGGACATGGTGGTTTACACAAAGTTCCTGCAAACAGGTTTAAAGTATCAAATGCTTACAAATGAATTTTTAAAATATGAAAATTAGAGAAAATGAAAAGTTCTTCCTGCAATAACTTGTCTTTTTCACTTGTATTTCATATGCTTTTGTCAGAAAAGGCTAGTGAAGCATCCAATGCACAGGGGATGCACGTGAAGAGGACTGTGAACTACTATTCTGAATAGTGTCCTAAACACACAAACGTTATCCATGAACACACAGCAGTCTAAAAATCCAGTTTGATTTCTAATACTGTCACTTGCTGACTGGGCATTCTAAGGTATTTTTAAATTTTTATGGTTTAGGTTTATATTATATTATATTCTCAATAGGACTTTTTTAAACAAGGTAAAACTGCAGCTAACAAAGTATGACCCATCACAGACATAAGTAGAAAATATTAAATATTCTGAGAATCATGGAATAATGAGAATACACTGTCTCATCAGAGAATGCAGTGTTTCCACATACATGAATTTTTTGATAGTTTCTACATATTCCTTTATTGTTCTTACTCATTAATATATCAACAATGGTATAACCACCATCTATTGAACAAGTTACTGTAACCTAAATGCTTCACTGTCAATGTCACATGTAATCCTTACAAAATCCTATAAGGAGGCTAGAGTGGGGTGGCTCACGCTTGTAATCCCAGCACTTTGGGAGGCTGAATCGGGTGATCACTTGGGGCAAGGAGTTTGAGACCGGCCTGGCCAACATAGCAAAACTTCATCTTACTAAAATTACAAAAATTACTTGGGCATGGTGGTGCATGCCTGTAGTCTCAGCTACTCAGGAGGCGGAAGCAGGAGAATTGCTTGAGCCTGGGAGGCGGAGACTGCAGTGAAACGAGATCACGGCATTGCACTCCAGCCTGGGTGACAGAGCAAGACTCTTGTCCTATAAGGTGGTTGTAATTATTAGTTCAATTTTACAGATAAATAAAATAAAAATCAAAGATATTAAGTACCCATGTGGGTTCACTGAGCTAGTAACTGGGGAACCAGAACTGGGGGTTGTGTCCACAATAACTGCTCTCAATGACCAGACTGTTATCAGCAGCCTGTGAGCAAACTAAGCTCTTCCTACACATGATTTCACTGAAGGCTCACAACGGCCTTATCAGATAGGCAGCTTTATTAATGCCATTTTAATGTATTCATTCAAAGACTATAGTATTCCCTATGTCTAAACACTGTGCTAAAAAGATTTAAAAAAAGGAAAAGCAACAACAACAACAACAAAGAAGAAAATAAAAAAAGAAAAGAAAAGAAAAAACACTGTGCTTAGTAAGTGCATGTGGCCAAGAGAAACCACAGACCCAGACCTTACCCTGCCTTAATAAAGCTTACAATCCAAAGGATTTACTAAACACTTGGTAAATATTTGTTAAAAGAAACTTGAATAAACAGTCATATAATAAATACACAATCACAATTAGGATAAGTGCTAAAAGAGCACATAACAAGGACATAACCTAATCTAGAGGGTCAGGGATAAACCTTTTAAAAGTTTATAATTTGAGGCCTGGCAAGGTGGCTCGTGTCTGTAATTGTAGCACTTTGGGAGGCCCAGGTGGGTGTATTACCTGAGGTCAGGAGTTCAAGATCAGCCTGGCCAACATGGTGAAACCCCATCTCTATAAAAATACAAAAAATTAGCCAGGTGTAGTGGCTGGCACACACCTGTAGTCCCAGCTACAAGGGAGGTGGAGGCAGGAGAATTGCCTGGACCCAGGAGGCAGAGGTTGCCGTGAGCCAAGATCATGCCACTGGACTCCAACCTGGGCAACAGAGCAAGACTTCACCTCAAAAAAAAAAAAGTTTGATTTGAGACCAGGTGTGGTGGCTCACAGCTGTAATCCTGGGGCTTTGGAAGGCCACGGCAGGTGGATTACCTGAGGTCAGGAGCTCGAGACCAGCCTGGCCAACATGGTAAAACCCCATCTCTAGATTAAAAAAACATAAAAATTAGCTGGGCATGGTGGCGGGCACCTGTAATCCCAGCTACTCAGGAGGCTGAGGCAGGAGAATTGCTTGAACCCAGGAGGCAGAGGTTGCAGTGAGCCGAGATCGTGCCATTGTACTCCAGCAAGGGCAAGAAGAGCAAAATTCCATCTCAAAAAAAAAAAGAAAAGCTTATGATTTGAAGGAAGTAAGAGTCCTATAGAGAGGAAGACAGAATCATTCTAGGTAAAGGACATCTGTGAGGGTGCCAGAGGAAGAGACATAACAGTGCAGAGTTCAAAAAGAGGACCCAGTCTCAAACAGGTTAAACAACCTGCACAGCCAGTAAGTGGCAGAGCTGCAATTAAGAGCCAGGACTATCATGCCTGTAATCCCAACACTTTGGGAGGTGGAGGCAAGCAGATCACGAGGTCAGGAGTTTGAGACGAGCCTGGCCAACATGGTGAAACCCATCTCTACAAAAAAAAATAATAATACAAAAACGAGGTGGGCGTGGTGGTGTGTGCCTGTAGTCCCAGCTACTGGGGAGGCTGAAGTAGGAGAACTGCTTGAACCTGGGAGGTGTAGGTTGCAGTGAGCCGAGACTGCACTACTGCACTCCAGCCTGAATGACAAAGCAAGACTCCATCAGAGGGTGGGGGGTGAGGTGGGGGTGCGGGGGGTGGGGTGGGAAGCACCAGGTCTATATGATTTCAAATAACTAAAAATGTTCTCTACTCTAGAATCCAGCAAATCTGATCTTTTCTTACTAATAAAGGGTCATCATTATAAATCCCAAGTATTAGACTACACTAGGATATAAGCATAATTTCCTTCTGTTATCATTAGATTGCTCTTACAATCCTCTTCTTTTAAAATGTGTTTCTATACAAATATGACAGTTTGACCTATATTTATAATAAGGGCCAATATGAATCAAATGATTAAAAGACTTCTACAGATTTCTAAATCTATGGTATATGGGTTTAAATATGCCTATTTCTGATTCTAAGTTTTCTACCAGCAAACTGAGGGTATTAGAAAGTGATTCAGTGTGATGTTTCCAAATTAAAGCTTTCTGTAAAAATACACTTATAAATAGCTCAATGATAAGTAAAAATGCAAAAGTTAACTGAGGAAGTTGGCAGTTAGGAAGTTCCTCAGTTGGTAAGCAGAAAATCCTCATGAAAATGAAAACAAAGCTTTCAAAAAGTATAAGGTACTATAAAATATAAGAACTTCAGGTGACAATGCTCTGATCACATGAGTCAGAGGAAAAAAATTGCTTGAACTGATCATTCATTCAACATTAAATGTGACCCTCTGTGCCTGGTCCAGTGTTAAAACCTAGAAATACAAAACCGGGAACATGCATGGTGGCTTACACCTGTACTCACAGCACTTTGGGAGGCTGAGGTGGGTGGATCATGAGGTCAGGAGTTCAAGACCAGCCTGGCCAAGTGGTGAAACCCCTTCTCTACTAAAAAAATAAAAAATTTAGCCAGGCATGGTGGCAGGCGCCTGTAATCCCAGCTACTCAGGAGGCTGAGGCAGCAGAGACTTGCTTGAACCCAGGAGGCAGAGATTGCAGTGTGCCAAGACTGTGCCACTGCACTCCAGCCTGAGTGATGGAACAAGATTCCATCTCAAAAAAAAAAAACCCTCCAAAACTGGAAAACAAAGAGACTATGTTACAAAATAATAATAATAATCCATGTCACCAACCTATATTAATCACGCTAATCTCTCATTCAGCTAAATACATTTTCAAGACAACCCAACCACACGAAAAGAAACATCCAAGATGAAAAAATAATACCTAATCATAGAGTTAACATATAATTCAATAAACAACTTTACAAGTAAAGTGTCAATTTAGCACTTGATTTTCAATATTTTATAGTAGGAAAGGACAAACCGCTTGGTTTATTTCATAAACTGAAACTCTGCATTTAGATATATTAAAGGTTCTTAAGATGAAAATAGGTTCAAAGAAGATCAAAAGGATACTGCATCTATAAAAATTAAAAAGTAAAGCATACAAATTATCAAACTGACAAAATAAGATCATCAAAATTTAAAAAACTTAATAGATGAGCTAACTATCAAAATGAACACAGGTGAATACACAGCCAGTAACCTAGAGGACAATGTCAAGAACATCTCCCAGAAGGTTAAATGGACCACAAAAAAAAAGCAACATGAATAGCACAGAGACCCCAAAACTATCTAATAGCTTTCTAGAAAAAAGAACAGAAGAAATGAAATAATCAAAGAAACAGTAAAATAAAATTTCTGACATAAAAAAACTTCATGATTTAAAAAAAAAAAATCAACAAACTCAGAATAGAAGGGAACTTTCTCATCCAGTGCAGTGGCTCATGCCTATAATCCTAGCACTTTGGGAGGCTGAGGTGGGCTGATAGCTTGAGCTCAGGAGTTCCAAACCCAGCCTGTCCAATATGCCAAAATCCTGTCTCAACAAAAGAAATCAGGGCATGGTATGGTGGCTCATGCCTATAATCCCAGCATTTTGGGAGGCAAAGGCGGACAGATCACTTGAGGTCAGGAGTTCGAGACCAGCCTGGCTAAAATGGTGAAACCCCCATCTCTACTAAAGGTACACAAATAAGCCGGGCGCAGTGGTGCATACTTGCAATCCCAGCTACTCAGAAGGCTGAGGCAGGAGAATCCTTTGAATCCAAGAGCTGGAGGTTGCAGTGAGCCGAGATCCATGCCACTGTACTCTAGCCTCAGTGATAAAGGAAGATTTTGTTTCAAAAAACAAACAAACAAAAAGTCAGCTGGGGGTGGTGGCATATACCTGTAGGCCC